CAGCCTCCCACATGCCCAGTTTCCTCACTGCCATCCCACTTTTCCATAACCTGGATGCACCATTGCTACCCAGAAGCCACGATTTGCATTAGGGTGCACACAGGGGCTGGATATTGTGCGTGTTTGGACAGATATATGCTGTGTATCCACCACTGCAGTCGCACACCAAGTGATTTCACTTCCTACATCTGCCTTGCCTGTCCACCTGTCCCTCTCTTCTAACTCTTGGGAACCATTACACTTTTTTTTTCAATACTGGGGGTTGAACCAGGGAGCACCAAACTACATCCTTAGCCATTTAAATTTTTTAAAAATTTGAGACAGGGTCTTTTCGATTTTCCAGGCTGGCCTTGAACTTGCACTCCCCTGCCTCAGCCTCCCTCATAGCTGGGATTGCAGGTGTGAAACCCCCATACCAGACCCCTGGTTTTTTTCACTGTCTCCACCATTTCATCTTTCTCCAGAATGTCTCGTAAAGGTTGAGTATCTTTTATCTGAAATGCTTAGGACCAGAGTATTTTGGATTTCAGATTTTTTTGGAATTTTGGAATATTTTTATGTACATAAGATATCTTGGGGACAGGGCCCACATCTAACTCAAAATGTATTTCTGCTGGGTTTTCTAGCAATACCCACTTAACTTTCTTCCATGTATTTCCGTGGTGCGACAGCCTGCTTCTTTTCAGTGCTGAGTGACAGATATTCCATTGTCTGGATGGGCCAGAGCTTATTTACCCATTCACCTATTGAAGGACAGACATTGTGGAGCCTTCCAAGTTTTGGCAATTAGCAGTAAGTCTGCAGTAAACATCCAAGTGCAGATTTCTGTTCTGTTGATTTTTTTTTTTTAAGAATAGTTTTATGTTGACAGAAAAATGAGCAGGAAGTACAAAGAACTACACACACACACACACACACACACACACGTGCACACGCGTGCATGCACATGCATACTGCTAGCCACATTCTATCATTTTTGGTGGTAAATTATACTGAAGTGTACATTTCAGTGACACTCAGGGTTTCACAGTGTTGTGGGACTGTCACTGTGACCACTGCCACCACCACTCATCCCCTTGTTGCTTTCTCCTCCCAGGTGGAGCCGAACCCCTCCCTGCTGTGGTCCCTTCCTGACTGCTTTAGGGGGCAGCTCCCTGCTGTCTGCTCAGCACCCATGCCCGGCCCTGTCCTGCCATCCTCCCTGCTGACAGGACCCTCTTTACTGGTGGCCTGGCCCCTTCCTCCCTGCACCCCCACCCAGAGCAAGCGTACCTGTCTCTTTGGGGACCTGACTCTCCCCTGCAGGGCTTCCCATGGGACGGCTGGCTTCTCCTCTACGTGCAGTTGTGGGGTGCTGATGCCCAGCCACTTTCCCTCCTAGATGCCCCTGCCTTTCTGTCCTGTGTACCCCCAGTGGCTTCCAGTACAGTTGGGATGAGTAAGAGGTGGGTGCAGGGGCTGGGGGTTTAGCTCAGCGGCAAAGCGCCTGCCTGGCAAGC